AGCTTCTTGTTGAAACACTTTGTAGCTATATTGCTACCATACGAATTAAGAGGCGTCAAAATTATTGAGGCGAAACGATTTTTGCGATTATCGTTACTATCTCTCTTATTCTACGCTTCTTTTTGCTAAGTAAACAACTTTTCGCGAAATAAACTTCTGTTATACAACTATAGTACTTATAGACACTACCTACAGTTTATAACGAGGAACTTTCTACGTTTCCTATGGTACTAATCTTGTTGGAAGTCGAAAGGACTTTTTTCAATGCTAAATACTCAGTCGAGGCTACTCAGATTCAACATACTCAAATTGGATAATGTGTGAAAGTTAGCCAAAAAATTTGTGACAAGTCTATCGAAGGCCGCTGGTATAAAGAAAATCAATATAATACGAACAATGACTTCACCAAACGCTTATTAGACTAAGTTAAACATATCTCCGAGGAACTAACTCAGTCATTCAACACATCTTTTCCTTCGTCTTTTTGGAGATTGAGGCACTATACCCATTGTCACTGAGGAAATAAAGCGATAGTATTGGAGGCGTTCAATCTGATGTAATTTTAGTGTTTCAAAACTTTTTGAAGTTCAACACTATCTCCCATTTAATGAGTGCACATATATAATGAATACATATATACATGCAACAAAGAATTATAAGAATTTAGAATTATAAAATTAGAAATAAATTATCTTACCGCACACCTTCGATGGCCTCCCGATAACTGATTTCCCAATCGTAAGGATCGCTCATTCTTCTGTCACCCACAAGCTCCTATAATACAACGCTGTTTCCATTGTAGCTCTAGCCAGGAATTACATTTGAAAAAAAAGAAGCGCGCAGAAGTTTTGGAAAGACAGCTCACTGACCGTAAGGAGAGCTTGCAGAGCAGCATAGTTTGGCTCTTCTTCGGTGTTTATACTAAACACGGCTCGTGCAAACTCTTGGAAGGAGTCGCTCGTTAATGCCAAGAAGGAAGTTTGGGGATCTCCATGCTGCTAAATACAACGACATTGAAGAAGAGAAGTTGTCAACTATCGGAATGGTAGTTCCCACCAATTCCAATTTCGCCCTTTTCACCTCATCACCCTTCAAAATGTATTTCCACGGCAAATCACCAACGAGTAGTTCAAGACCGAAAAATGCAATAAATAAAATCAATACTGGCGATTTGTTGCCTTTTGCTGCTAATCCATTTTTACGCTTCTTTTTACTAAAGACAGAAAACATGTCCTTTCAAATCGCCTCATGTTTTTTCCGTAAGCTTCTACATACTAGAGATATATATTGGTCTAATGAAAACCCGTATGGGAAATGCAATTAAAAGTGTTATTCAAAATCATTAACTTTCAGTCGTA